CCCTTTCACCTAGTATCTTCAGAGAAATATTTTGTTCTTGTGTTCTCAGGCCAGATTTTTCTGTCACACAGGCTGAACTAGATTAGAGGCTTCTCTGCCCTTTAATCCTTCCCCTGTTTACTGGTGCCTTATCCTAAACTAAAGCCACTGTCTTTCCCGCTGATGGGAGATGGTGATAACGTGTTTGGGCTTGTGTTAATCAAAGGTACTTGGTATAGCTTGATCTTTTTTTTTTAGGGAAGTACTTACTAGGTGATTGATAAATGGAATACACAAATGACCCCTAATCTAGTTTAAAATTTGTGGCTAGAATTTATCCAGAATGTATTTTTGTTTGGCCTTGTGTTTAAGAACAGACACATAAGAATTAAATTGGCTGAATTAATGTTAAATTTATTTTTAAAATGTGGAATTGTCTATTTTTTTAAAATTTAGATTATTTTGTGAAGATTGAGGTGTACTTGCCAGTGCAGTTTTTCTTGTAATGTATGGATAGGTAGTTATAATATTCCCAAAGGACAGAGATTCCCATGGTTTTAAAAATTCTTTTTACCTGTCTAGTTAGGTTACACAAAGGTAACATAAAAATGTATTACCTAGACCTACCAACATATAACTAATTCCTGTGTACCTTTTGCTCTGTATCTGTTAATAGTCTGTATGGGATTCTCTACCATGCGAGCGCGGGCTACTCTTCGTTGCGGTGTGCAGGCTTCTAATCGCGGTGGCTTCTCGTTGCGGAGCATGGGCTGTAGGTGCGCGGCCTTCAGTAGTTGTGGTGTGTGGGCTCAGTAGTTGTGGCTTGCGGCCTCTAGAGTGCAGGCTCAGTAGTTGTGGCACACAGGGTTAATTGCTCCGCGGCATGTGGAATCTTCCTGGACCAGGGATCGAACACGTGTTTCCTACATTGGCAGGTGGATTCTTAACCACTACACCACCAGGGAAGTCCCTGACTCCCCGCTTTGACTGCCGAGGGCCCGGGTTCAACCCTTGGTTGGGGAACTAAGATCCTGCAAGCAGTGTGGTGTGGCCAAAAAAAAAACTTTAGCGAATGGAGAAGTCGAAAGAATTTCAACTGATCTTTTCTCTAGATGCAGTCTGTCACAAAATGAAAGAACCTAGTTAAAGTGAACAAAGTGTAGTTTACTGAACTCATCTTTATCATCTATTTTAGGTATAAACTAGGCTGTTTGTTGTGGCTAGTGGAGTGAACTACAAGCATTTTTGTCAAGTATGTAGGTTTCAATTTCAATGAGTCTTTAAGGTTAAACACTATTTGAATTATTTTTCTCTGTCCTTTTACAGCATCCACCCGCTTTGTGAAGTGTGAAAAATGTCATCATTTTTTTGTTGTGCTATCAGAAGCAGACTCAAAGAAAAGCATAATTAAAGAACCTGAATCAGCAGCAGAAGCTGTAAAATTGGCATTCCAACAGAAACCGCCTCCTCCCCCCAAAAAGGTATAGGTCTTAGTTCAGTCTAATAAGCACTTTATCTTGAAAACATTTCATTGCTCCCCTCCCTCCAGTTTATATTGAATCTTAATACTAGTATCTAAACAAGTGTTATAAGTTCTTAATATGGACTATACCTGGCTAAATTGTTACTGATATTTGATACTTGAAATTCAGGTATGGAATCCATTGCTGTTTTCCCATGTCATGATTACTGTATTCGTAGCAATGAAATATAGTTGATGATTATTAAAGTAGTGTTAATGCTGAGTTAATCTAAAATGATATCCTTAAAATAGAGCAGCTCGGGATTTATTTTTGTTAGTTTGGGCCCCTAAATAACACCAGCCTGCAATTTTTCCCCCTTAAGTTAATCTACTTTATGGTAAAACAGCCTCAGGCTAACAGTGGAAGCAAGTAATTTTTTCCTGACCAATGTGCCAGGGCTCTCCTGTATAGCACTATGACTTGTGGTGTGGGCTCTTCCTAGGAGTCTCAGATGGATTGTGATTTGGCCTTGTGAAACACAGCAGAGTGTCCCACCAGCTTCATTGGGTACTTGGCATACACTTTCTGAGAAGGAGGAGCCCTGCTCTGGGCTGTGTGCCCTCTGTTCTGGCCATATCTCAGATGTTTGCACACTTACATCATTTGTCACCCTCTCCTTCGGTTTAGCTTTCTTCTACTATTTAGGTACCAGTGCATTTGTCTCTGCAAATGTGCTATGGCAGGTTTAATAAATCATGGGTATAATTTGTGAGGAATGATGATTTTTAAAAACGGTAATAAAATACATATGGTCAACGACTATAGAATTTGTCATGTAAAAATAAATGAAGTAATGGAAAATATAGCTATTAAGCTTTGTGTTCCCCACTAATTTGTGTAGACTTCAGACATCTGAGTCAAAGTTCTAGAGAATAAAGTTCTAGAAAATAACTATTTTCAGGAGTTAGTGAATATTAACAGTTAATTTCTGTTTCTAAAAGCTGAAATAATTTATCCCAGGTGCTAAGCTCTTGGCAATATCCAAGTTTTATCTAGAGCTTTAGTTTCTACCAAGAATAAGGCTTTTAGATTGCCATTTAGATAAAAGCGTAGCTTTAAAGTTAATATCTAAGAAGAAGCTAAATGTTTATGAGCATTAAAACACATTGATACTGGTGGTATAATGGTCTTTGATTACATAATGCCTATTTTGAAAAGGTTAGTTTTATAATATGTTGTCTTTGTGAAGAATATTATTCATATTATTGAGAGAGGTGTAAAAAGGATTTTTAAAAATGATTTACGTTAATGATGATAGCTTTAGACCCATGGTGGCAAGTGTAGGTATTCTAATTGACTTTAATATTAACTTTCAAAAATTAGGATCAGTGACATTGTTTATAGAATAGAAACTGGCATAGCACTGGAAGAGTACAGGGATACTTTGTTAAGCTAGAGAACAAAAGAATTGTGTTTTGTTCCTTTTAAGTTTGGGGCCTCTGAATCATTGCTACATAATGTGTCATGCCCCTTGCAATTTGTTTTGTTTTGTTTTTAAACCTAAAGGGAGCAAACATTCATTCGTTTGTTTGTTTGTTTATTTATTTATTTATGGCTGTGTTGGGTCTTTGTTGCTGCGCGTGGGCTTTCTCTAGTTGTGGCGAGCGGGGGCTACTCGTCACTGCGGTGCAGGGGCTTCTCATTTGTGGTGGCTTCTCTTGTAGCGGAGCATGAGCTCTAGGTGCATGGGCTTCGGTAGTTGCAGTGCGCGAGCTCAGTAGTTGCGGAACGCAGGCCCTAGGGCGCGCGGGCTTCAGTAGTTGTGGTGCACGGGCTTAGTTGTTCCGCGGCATGTGGGATCTTCCCGGACCAGGCATTGAACCCATGTCCCCTGCATTGGTAGGCAGATTCTTAACCATTGCGCCACCAGGGAAGTCGTGGCATTTTGTTTTGGATGAGAATCTTTGTTCAAATTTAAAACTGTAAGTAAATGTGCTCAGTATAGGACTTTCCCGTTGGTCCAGTGGTTAAGACCCCATGCTTCCACTGCAGGGGGCACAGGTTCAGTCCCTGGTAGGGGAAGTTCCACGTGCTGCATGGTACAGCCAAAAAAAAAAAAGTGTGCTCAGTATGTAACTTTATTGTGCATATTTTGTGATAGCTCATAGTAAGTTGTTCATATCTAATCATTTTTCAGATTTATAACTACCTCGACAAGTACGTTGTTGGCCAGTCATTTGCTAAGAAGGTGCTTTCAGTTGCTGTATACAATCATTATAAGAGAATATATAATAATATCCCAGCTAATGTGAGACAGCAAGCAGAAGTTGAGAAGCAGACATCATTAACTCCTAGAGGTTAGTGTTTTGATAATTGACCAAAATAGAGATTACTGTGCTTTAGAGGTAATCCTTATTTGGAACTCTTTGCTTTTGTCTTAAAATACTTTTAGTACACTACAGCATTTTTCAAAATACAGATCACTTCCCATTAGTGGTTCATGAAATCATTTCAGTACATTGCCAGCAGCATTTAAAAAAGAGTTAATAAGTGTGAGTAGAAAATACCAGAGTATGTTAACAACTTAAGTATTATTTCTTAAAACTTTTGTTTTCAGTTATAAGTACATGGGTTCTGGTATACAGATTGAGACATCATTTTTGAATTGTAGACTTGACCACAACTATTTCCCCATGACTGGATCATTGCAGTGCTCTCTGTGTGACTCTTGAGTTCTTCTCTTTTGGGTTCAGGATACAGAATTTCATTTGCCTAAGTCAGAGATATATGGAGATGATAAAGCTTACAGAACGTTTTCAGCACTCTTTCCTTTTAGTCCCCAGC